TGACATATATGCTGAAGATGTGTGCATGGAGGGGGGAGGATTAAACAACGGATGGAGATGGAATCCACAGAGAGAGAAAAACAGCTGGGTAGACAAATGGGTAAATGTCAGCCTGGGAGAATGAATATCTGCTAATGGGGACCTTAGTGGTTGACAATGGATGTTTGTTGTGGCAGTCCATGTGTAGGGGTTGGAGTAAGGACATGTGCAAGGTGCTCAGACGCTAAAATTGTTGAAATCGATATCGAGTCTAAAAGGCTGAAGTGTTCCCAAGTAGAAAATGAGGTGTTGTTCTTCCAGCTTGAGCTTCGCTTTGCTGGAGCATTGCAGCAAACCTGAGACAGAGATATTGGCCAGGGAACAGGGTGGTTTTTTGAAATGGCAGGCAACCAGAAGCTCAGGATCATTTCTGCAGAAAGAACATAAGTCTTCTGCAAATCGGTCACTCTGTGCTTCGTCTCCCCAACGTATTTGAGAGCACATTGTAAGCAGTGAATACAGTAGATTGATTGAGTGAAGGGCAGGTAAATTGCTGCTTCACCTGGAAGGTGTGTCTGGGGTCTTGGATAGTGAGGAAAGAGGAAGTAAACGAGCACAACTGTTATATGTTCTGTGATTGCACGGGAAGGTGCCATGGGGTGTGGGAAGATGTTGGGAGTGAAGGAGAAGTGGACCAGTGTGTCTCGGAGGGAGCGGTCCCTGCAGAAGGCTGACAAGGGAGGGGAGGGAATATGTGTTTGGTGGTTGTATCCTGTTGGAGGTAATGGAAATTGTGGCTAATGACCCTTTGGATGAGGGTGCTGGTGGGATGGTAGCTGAGGTCAAGGGGGACCCTAATGTTGTTGGGGGAGAGAAGAAAGGGGGTAAGGGCCAAAGCTCAGGAGATGGGTCATATCAGGTTGAGCATCCTGTCAACTTACAGTGCTGGGGAATCCTCAGTTGAGGAAGAAAGTAAAGGAGAAGTTGTACAGAGTGAGGACGAAATCGGCCAGGTGAAAGAGGGGATGGTGAATGGGGAAGGTTCAGGTCTTCATTCGAGGAGGAAGTGGAGAGCTTTGAGACCATCCTGATGAGGGATGGATGTGTAAAGCGATTGCATGTCCATGATAAAGAGGACATGGCTGGGACGAGTGAACTGGAAATTCTGAAACTAACATAAGGCGTCAGGAATCACGGATGTAAGTGGAAAGGGACTGGTCGAGGGGAGAAAAAGTCGGGTCGAGGTCAGAAGAGATGAGTTCTGTGGAGCAGGAACAGGCAGAAACAATGGATTTGCCTGGGCAGTCCAGTTTGTAGATTTTGGGAAGGAGGTAGAAACAGGCCAAGTGGGGCTAGAAGACTATGAGCTTGCAGGCAGTAGGGGAATCACGGATGAAATGAGATGTTTTTCTCTCTCTCTGGGCTCCATCTCCACCTATCGTTTACTTCTTTCCCTCAACCCCCCTCCCACCCATTCTCTAGCATATATACCAACCTTTTCCTAGCTACCATCAGTTATGAAGAATGGTCACTGGATCCAAAACGGAAACCCTGTTTTCTCTCCAGAGATGCTGCCATCCCGCTGACTTTTTCCAGCAATTTCTGATTTTGAATTCATAGACATTTAAATTAGTTCGACATGACTTTCCCTTCACATATCTGTACTGCTTAAATCTGACTACTTCACATCTGTTCAAATACTCAATAATTCTATTCTAATGGCTTATTATAGTCACTTCCCAATTTTTGTAGTTATATACATAATATCTCTTTTCCACCCTTCATAAATAATGAAGCAATATTTCATCTCATCACCTATCTCTTAAAAGGTTAAGATAGCAGGGATATTGCAGAACAGCCCTGGTATTTACCCTGTTGCAAGGTGGGTGTGGAAGTATATAAAGGTAGATTGAGTGTTTTACAAACACTTCCACAGCTCAAGTTTGAACACAATTCTTAATTGAAACTGGCATGCATTCAATGGCAAATTCAAGCAAATATTATCTTACCTTTCTTTACGAGTCCGAAAGCTTATTTTTTCTCCTGAATTGTTGTCTCATCCCATAATGATGGGATAAAGAGTTGATTCTAACTGCCATGTCCTACATGTTGGAGTGCAAACAATAGTTCTATTTCGTCCTGATTATGATTGTCATCAATTCACAGAATCACAGAATCGTTACAGCACGGAAAGCTATTGAGCCCATCATGTCTATTTGGCACTCAGTAGGGGAGACTTACCAACTGTTAGTCATCCATCTTCTCCCCAGCACTCAGTTGTTCTTCCTTTTCAGATAACAGTCCAATTCGCTCTGAAATGTTTCACTTGAACCGGGCTCACCACAATCTGATTGCACAATCCAGGTGGTAACCTCTCTCTGCATGTAAGGTTTTCCATCATGTTGCTGTTGCTTCTTTTGCCAATTACCTTAAACCTTCAGTTCTGAAGAAGGATCGTGCAACTTGAAATGTTAATCCTCTCCACAGATGCTGCCAGACCTGCAGAGTTTCTCGAGCATTCTGTGTTTGTTATCATAAATCTGTGCTCTCAATACTTTCACTGCTGTGAACATTTTTTTCTCTGTGTTTTCTGTCAAGAACTCTCATGATTTTGAATACCTCTATCAAATCTAATTAGACCACTCGCAGAAAGGCTAAAGTAGTACTCATCAAAGGGGTAGTCCTGCCAGTGTTCTCTTTCGGACCACTGCTCCTTCATCAGGTGAAGTCAAAACTTCACTTGATGAAGGAGCAACACTTCGAAAGCTTGTGGTTTCAAATAAACATATTAGACTATAACCTGGTGGCATGTGACTTCTGACTTTGTCCACCCCAATCTAACACCATCACCTTCACATCAGTGATAATAAGGTGTAGAGCTGGATGAACACAGCAGGCCAAGCAGCATCATAGGAGCAGGAAGGCTGACGTTTCAGGCCTAGAATCTAGGCCTGAAACATTCACTCTGACTTCTCTCCACAGATGCTGCTGGACCTGCTGAGCTGTTCCAGCGATTTCTGTTTTTGTTTCTGATTTCCAGCATCCCTGGTTCTTTTGGTTTTTTACGAATAGCATGGTCTTGAAGGAACCAGCAGACATTTGTTAGAGCTAACTATTGTATACAAGCACTGCATTCCTCAGATGTTTGCTTCAGAAAGGCTCATTTGTGAGTTGAGATTGAGCCTATCAATAGCAGGTGTGGGAGTGAAACAGTCTGTGATTGGAGGAGCTGTGGAGAAGGAGTGGAAGTGTATTGGTTTGAGCAGTAGAAGCTCTGGTCTGTCACCTTCCCAGCAACAATGATCTTATGTAATAAACTGTCAATAATGAGGATCCTGCTGGAGACAAGCTGCTTGGAGGTCTAATATAATATTCAACAATCAGGCCCAATTGACATTTTAGGATTTCTATCAAGGAGAGTCTCTCTTCCCAGCAGCTGAACCATAACAAGAGGCACCAACAGACTGGAAGAGCCCACAGTAATTATTAACAGTTTGCCTCGTTTGAGCCTTGGGCCTTCTCAGTTCCAACCTCAACCTTTGATTCCCCCTTGAAACTTTCTATACCACACCCCTCCCCCCAACTTAATTACCACCAGCCTGAAATTGTTCCCATAGACCCTTAGCTTTGTCCTCCTGCTACAAAATTCCCACTCCTACCCACCAGCCAGGCAGTTAAAATCGACAGGGCATTTACGATTTTCTATAGGGCTCGCTAATACTGTTCTTGACTCCCAGTAAAAATTGAGACCGATATCCTTGTGCTAAAAGTTAATCACTTCTCAGCAATCCCCATTTTAAAAAATAGTGCGCAGGCTTTGCATAAGAACGGGATGAAATTTGAACATATTGCTAATAATTAGGAACATGCATCTAATCCCTCACACACACAGCCAACTCAATGATATGTCAATTTGTGAGTTTTCAGAATTGTTACAGAAACGATGGTTGTAAAAAGTACATTTGATATCTGACCTGAATAAAAGGGATATTGAATTATTTATCAGATTGATAGAAGAAACAATATCTAATGCCCCAAGGAGTTCCAATACGTGAAATACTTCTACAATGCAGTCATTGTTGTAAGGTGGGAAATGCAATAACACAGCATGGTCCCAGAAACAGCATTGAGTTAAATGTCTTGAGTGAGTGAATGAATGAGACTTTGTGTATTTGTGTGTGGTGTGTGTGTCTGAGTTGTATGTTTGAGTGAGGTGTAGATGGGGGTTGAGAAGTTGGATCGCAAAGTCCATACTTTGTTCCTCATTAATAAATCTTACAGCATTTGCCTCTCCTAAAATCTGATGTTATGTTATATTGCCTCTGTAAATTGTCATCACTTTTGACGTTTGACAAGGATCCTTAACCATTATTTAATTATTTTTGTCATTGTGCTTTTTTTATCCTGCAATAACATTGGGAAGATGATGAAAGGAGTGATCTAATCGAAGCCTTCAAGATATTAATAGGAAAAGACAGGGTTGATAAACAATTTCCATTGGTTGGAGATAAGTTTGAGAATTAGGGCCAGACCGTTCAGCAGCAATGTTAGGAAGCACTTCTACACACAAAGTGGGGTAAAGGTTTCGAACTCTCTTCCCCAAATGGCAGTTGGTGCTAGATCAGTTGTTAATTTTAAATTTGAGATATATGCATTTTTGTTAAGCAAAGGTATTAAGGGATATGGGCCAAAGGCAGGTATATGGAGTTAGGCCACAGATTAGCTACGATTTCATTGAATGGTTGAACAGGCTCGAGAGGCTGAATGGACTACTCCTGTTCCTATATTTCTAATCAAAGCACCATACACTTTGCATTCAAAGTCATTTTTTGTTAAACTTAAGTGTATTAAACCAGAATATAATGTCACTTGGTCAGTCAGGCAGGGGAAATTTAATAAAGATATTTTGGACAGCTATCACACATTGCTCCCATGTGTTTGTATACTTCTTTGTGGAGTTTCAATATTTATTTTAAAATATATGAATGAATAAATAATTTTGGCATTAGGTGTACAGTTAACCACTTTTATAAAGTAGCATGTAACTTTAATATAACAAAGTTCCTAGTGTACTAAGGTATTCCAATCTAGATATCATTAAAGCATGGATAATCATACGAGAAGATACATTAACTAGGGAGAAATTACATAAATATGAAATATATGAGAATTAAATTGATCACCAGCTTGGTAACTTGTGTTGTCAGCACTCACTTTAAACAGAAATACTGAAAGGAAAGAAACTTGAAATTGGCTGAACAATACCAAAGAATTCTGAATCATATTATTTGTTTGCAATTAACTCTTTAAAAAAGCCACAGATGTGAGACTCAATCCAATAAGTTATCCTATGCCAAGTAGTTGAAATTTTTACTTTGGATATAGAGTACATGAGATTTATTTATGAAAAGTTCACAAAACATCTTATTTATAGATTTCAAAGTTAGAAGATTTGTTCTGCCATATCAATTTAAAATAAAAATCCTTAAATTCAACACAAATATCGTCAGTATTGCCATAACATGATTGTGTCACTTAGTACAGGAGGTAGTGGAAATGAACGGAGATGATCCTGAAACCCAAATTAGCCTCTCAAAATAACTCTCAAGACAAATCTTAGGAAGATCCCTAGAAAATAAATACTTCGACCACATCTTTGATAGAGATAGCATGTCTGCTGATAGCAATATGGAAATTCTCAGTTTTGAAGTTGGAATTTCGCTATAGTTGTCACAGAAAATAAAATGCAGAAATTGGCCCGTTTCAGTGAAACATTTTTGTATTTGTTCAAAGGTGGTCAACCATCTTCATGCCCTTTTGTTAAAACTTGAAAACCTTTACTCCTGTCCCATGCTGAGTATTTCCTCTCCTATTTCCTCCATTTTCGCTCACTGACTTGCCTTCAAGGGTTGCAGAATTGACAAATCTATTAGGCAACTGGTTTACCCATCCATCACCATCTCTAATTGGACAGCATTGAGTGTTATTACTGTTTCCAAGTTCAACTCAATCAACATCTTCGAAGTTCTTCAGTACATGGCTGCCTTCCAAATTTTTCCTTCCCTTTCCTGTAATCCTGTTTTGAATTCTGAGTTTCTGAATTCTGAGTACCAGAGCAAGAAAATGGCCATAACCAATATAACAAATGTAGTGCAAAGTGGAAATTATTATCTTGCCCTTATCTCTTCAACCTCCCCAAATGTCTGTCATGTGGTGTCTTTGCTTACTTATCCGGTCCTCCTGAGTTTGACTATTATCTATTCCATTGTAGCTATAGTGTTCGCAGCAATGTATTATCTTCCTAAGCCTGGAATGTAAATCTGGAGAGTTCCTTAAGTATCTATCCTTCCTCAACCCCCTAACCCTCATGCAGAATATTCTCCTTAGGAATAGAGTATATATTTGCTGCTGATGCTCATTTCTAACTTTTCCACTCTTTTCCATCATCCTTCCCTTAATTCTATCAGGCTCCCGGTTTAACATCTGATCATGGAGACCAACATCTTATTCACCTTTATCAACTGGAAGATGGAAATCACCCAAACGCTAGCCTTCTCACTTCACCTATCCAATCTGCTGCTATACACTGTGTACTTGCCATCACTTTACTTCTCTCTCTCAACCTAATTGTCACAGTTCACAATCTGTATGCCCTGCTTTCCCTGAGTTTACCACAAATCCTTCTGCCATAAAAATTGCCTTGATCATTGCATTGTCCATTCTGTAGCATTGCCCATATGTTCTCCATTGCTTCCAATTCTATCTTAATGCATCTGTCAATCCCTTCCACATTCACCTACTTAATCGGGAAATGAGTCTTGTTGCGTTGCAATTGGTATAGGAAGGCAGTGTGTCACAAGGATGGATGTTGGTTGACTGATAGCTGAAGCATTGGAGTAAGTCATGTGATGAAATCTCCAGGAATACATTTATTCAAAGTTAGCCATCCTGGGGAAGAGAACTACACTTTTTGGAAACTACATGGCTTGCAAATGGTCACCTTGGTGGTAATGGCCACCCCTGCAACAACACACCGTAATGCCTAAAGACCAGACCTCTACTGATTATGAAGGCTTGTCTCTTGGGTTCTGGAATGCCTTTCCCTGTGATCCTTTTGAGTACATCTCAGCCTCTAAGGAAGCTGCAAGTGAAGCCTCAGCAATAGTCATTGCTAGTGCTTGTGCCGTCAATGGTACTGGTCTATCAGCCATTGAAGTTGGGCCTCTTTCCACTTTCAGCCCTTGGGAGCCAAGACTCTACCCACAATGAAAAAAATCAGCCTGTTTTGTCTCTATTGTGCACCTGGAGCAGTCTATCTACAGTGCAGACACTGTATAAATTCAAATAGCTGTTGATTCATACATGTAAGCGATTATATTTCAATACAAGAATACAGGGTAATTAATGCAGAATTCAAAATTCATTGATGAAAATCTATTTTTTTTCTTCACCAATATAATCGAAACAATGGCATATACCCAGCAACCGAAAACAGTAATGCACAATAATCATATCGGAAACATATGAATTCATTGAGTTCAAATTAGAAGATGCATTTGAAGACATGATTACAAGAAAATGAATCATTTTTTGATCAAACCAGAGGCCATAATACAAACGGTACATAGTGGAATCTCATGGTTTGGGGCAAGCATTGTGATCTCCCTCGACTGCTTAAAGAAAAGCTTGGAGGGTACTTCTGATGCAATGGTAATGTCCCTGCCTCTGAGGCTTGAAATCTGGCTCCAAGTCCCACCTGCTTCAATGGTGTGTAATAGTGTCTCTGAACAGGTTGATTAAGAATAAGTTCTAAAATTATTGGTTGTCATCAAGTGCAAGGGATCCTTCTCCAGTATGGGCCACCCTGAATATTTTAACTTTTGCTTCAAAAGTGGCTATGATGGGGACCAAATTCTGCCCAAGTATTTCACAGATTAATCATGTTAAAAATGCACAACCATGAGTGAACCTGGAGATATTTATAATTTCTGACAGCTTGACTAATTTGGATGAAAAAGCATTTCTGATTGCACAGAACACTAAAAAGTGAAGTTATATCCTGAAATGGCACAAATATACAACACAGTAGATAAGATGTAAATCACATTTAACAATTTAATAGTTTTGGACAGTCATGTTCTTGAATCCTTTCACGTCTTTCAACTTGACAGAGTCAAAATCAACCAATAACTTCCTTGGGCCGGTTTTCATGGGAGTGAATTCAATCTCTAGTCTGACTGTTTGCTGTGGTCCTATCTCCTGAACTCTGAAACAATGTAAGAACAATGGGATTTAGTAAACAATCTCTCACAGATTTCAGAAATCTTATTAATAGTGAAATTATCACTAATGTAAAGGATAAAAATATCAAACTCAATTCATCTCCAGGTTTCTGATTGACTAATTTGACAATGACAACTTTCATGTTAGTTCCATGGTTAGCACTGCTAGCTCGCAGCACCAGGGATCCAGGTTTGATTCCACCCTCGGGCAACTGTCTGTGTGAAGTTTGCACATTTTTCCCATGTCTGCGTGGGTTTCCTCCTGGTGCTCCAGTTTCCTCCCACAATTCAAAGTTTTGCAGGTTAGGTGGATTGGCCATGCTAAATTGCTCATAATGTCCAAGGATATGCAGGCTAGGTGGATTAGCCCTGGGAAATGCAGGGTTACAGGGATAGGGTAGGCGAGTGGGTCTGGGTGGAATGCGTTTTGGAGGGCTGGTGTGGGCTTGATAGACTGAATGGCCTGCTTCCACACTGTAAAGGTTCAATGTTATGGAGTATGTCACAGATCCTCTGTCTTTGTTCGGTTACTTCGGGGCATCCCTACATGTTGGCCAATTTTGACCCACTCCTCAGAATTTATCAATCTAACAGTTTTACTTGTTTTTAATTCTACATGTCTTGCCAATACTGCTAACTTACTTTGCTTCTATTTTGTCCTTCAAAGGAGGTTTTAAACTGATTTCACAGGAGGATAAGACATAAAGTAGTTGTAAAGTTGGGAGCAAGCCCAAACAGATCTAGAAGGAATGCTAGGACAGTCCAGTAGGTGGAGAAGACATGGGTAAGATAAGGCACGTAGAAGGTCAAAAGAGCTAAATTGTGTCTATATTATTGCAAGGAGCTTGACTGGTAAAGAGAATGAGCTTGGAGTGCTGATCAGCACATGGGAATATGATCTTGTTGCAGCTGCTGAGATATAGTTGAAAGAAGGACAAGACTGTTAGCTCAGTATTCCAGGGTATAGATGTTTCAGGTGCAATGAAGAGGGGAGTAAGAGAAGTGGGGCCATTGCATTATTGATAAAGAAAACCATCACTGCAGTACTGAGGAAAGATGTTGAAGATAGGTCTTCAAATGAGACTATCTGGGTAGAGCATAGAAATAACAAAAGGGATGAATACCTTGCTGTGATTATACTGTAGGCATCCCAAATTTCAGAGGGAGATAAAGGAGCAGACTGTTAGGCGAATCATAGAAAGGTGTGAGAGAAGTAGGATTGTAGTTGTAGGGGATTTTAACTTTCCTAACATTAACTAGCATCGCCTTCCTGTGAAAGGATCAAATGGAATTTTGTAATTGCATCCAGGAGAGATTTTTTTGTGCCAGTATGTAGATAATCCTACTGGAGATGGGGAGTGCTAGACCTAATCCTAGCGAATGAAGCTGATAAAGTGGTTGAAGTTTCAGTGAACAAGCACTTTGGTAATAGTGACCGTAACTCTGTAATTTCCAAAATCATTATGGAAAGGGATAAGGATAGTGCGGAAGTTAAGTGACTATGGGGAAGGCCATTTTCAATATCATTAGATAAGATCTGGCAAACATCGACTGGGAGTGGCTACTTGAAGGTAAATCTACATTTGGAAAGTGGGAGTCTTTTAAAATTAATATTGTGAGAATCCAGACCCACTGTGTTACTCTAAGAGTGAAGGGCAAGGGCAGCAGGTCCAGGGAACCCCAGATGTTAAGGATTATTGAGAACTTGGTAAATAAAAAGGAGCAAACATATGCCAGGTACTGTGCTTTGAAAACAAGTGCAGCTCTTCAAACATATAGAGAGTGTTGGAAGTTGCTTAGAAAGACAATTAAGATGGCAAAGGGGACAGGGGGCATGAAGTGTCTCTGACAGATGGGATCAAGGAAAACCCCAAGGCTTCTTTATAAGTATATTAAGACTACGAGGATAACTAGGGAAAGGGTGGAACCTATTAGACACCAAAGTATCAATCTGCTTGGAGCCAGAGGACATGGGTGAGGTCTTAAATGAATATTTTTCATCTGTATTCAATGAAGAGAAAGACATTGTAGCCAGGAATTACAGCTGGGATGGTAAGGTTATAGAAAATGTTAAGATTAGTAAGAAGGAATTTTTGATGGATATATAGGTGCATCAATCCACAGGGTCTGATGAGATGTATCCCAGGTTGCTATGGGAGGCAAGGGAGAAGATTACTGGCCCCCTGACAGAGATATTTAATACTCCACTGGCCACAGGTGAAGTGCCAATGACTGGAGGATGGATAACATGGTTCCTGTGTTCAACAAGGGCAGCAGGGATAGGGTAGTTAATTACAGACTGGTTAATTTGATATCAGCGGTAGGGAAATTACTGGAAAAAATTCTGAAGGACAGGATTAATCAACACTTGGAAAGGCAGACATTAATCAGAGATCGTTGGCACAGATTTGTTTGAGGGAGAACCTGTCTGACTAATTCAATTGAGTTTTTTTGAAAAGGTTTTTTGATGAGGGTAGTGCAATTGGTGAGACTTGCACAGATTTCAGTATGCCCACTGACAAGGTCCCATATGCAAGGCTGGTCCAAAAGGTAAGAAGCCATGGAATTGAAGGCAAGTTGGCAAACTGGATCCAAAACTGGCTTACAAATAGGAGGCAAAGAGTGATGGTGAAGGAATTTTTTTGTACTTGAAAACCCATAACCAGCAGTATAGGACAGAGATTGGTGCTGGGACCCTTGCAGTTATTTACATTAACAACTTTGATGTGCATGTAGAAGGTATGACCAATAAGCTTGCAGATGACACAAGAATTTCTGGTGTAACAGACATTGAGGAGGATGGCCTCCGGCTACAGTCTGATATTGATCAGCTGGTAAATTGGGGAGAGCAATAGCAGATAGAATTTAGTACCAATATGTGCAAGGTAATGCATTTTGGGAGGTCTAATAAGGGAAGGACATACACAATAAATAATAGGTCCCTGGAGAGTACTCAGGAACAAAGGGACCTTGGTGTACGAGTCCATAGATCCTTGAATGTGTTAGTATAGGTAGACAGGGTAATGAAGAAGGCGCACAGAATGCTTGCCTTCATTAGTCAACGTGTAGAATGTAGGAGCAAGGAAGTCTTGTTACAACTTTATAAAACATTCATTAAACCACAGATGGAATACTGCATGCAGTTCTGGTCACCACACTATTAGAAGGACATGATTGCACTGGAGACCATGCAGAGGAGATTCACTGGATGTTGCTTGGGATGAAAATTCTCAGATATGAGGAGGTACTGAAGATACTGGATTTGTTTTCCTTTGGGGGGAGAGAAGGCTGAGGGTGAATCTGATTGAGGTATACAAAATTATGAGAGGCATAGACAGAGTAGATTGTGAGAATCTTTCTCTGTGGTAGATATGCATAAGACCAGAGGAGCAGATGGATATCTGAGGAAAGGATTTTTTTCACGCAGAGAGTGGTAGATATATGGAACATGCTGTTTGGAAAAATGTTGGAAGTAGATAATCTTGAAAAATATAAGTATTTGGATGAGTACTTAAAATGCCAGGGCATAGTAGGCTATGGACCAAGTGCAGGTAAATGGGATCAGTATTGTTTGCTGTTTATTGGTCAGTATAGACATGATAGGCTGAAGGACCTGTTTCTATGCTATATGACTCTGAAATTCATAAAGGAAAACTTATTGTGCTCAATCTGAAATGCTGCAGCACTGCCCAATTGCACAGAGGTACATGCATAAGTCATTGTCAGATGTTAGAAGTAAAGGAATCACCTCAAAAGTATCTGTGTTGGAATGTTAAAGGAGCATGGGGACATTTCTGGATTTCCTGCTTCAGTTTCTGTTTAGTGTGTCAATTGGACACTGAAATGGCGAAGCACAAGTAAAAGCCGACAGATCTTATGTTGGGATCTTCTGTAGAATGTGACTGTGTAAGATCCTATAAGTACACTGTAGAAACCACAATATAAACAAAGACCTCCACTACAGCCAGTTCCAAATCAAATATCATCTTCCAGTTAATATATCTAATGAGGCTACTCTCTGGTTCTGATATTGGTAGCTGGGAATGTTGCAACAGGTAACCTGGGCCAGGGTGTTTAAGCAAATTAATCTTACAGCAGATATTTTACTCCCAAGCACTTTGCTCGTACATATCAGAGTATGATGGAATACTTCCCATTTGCTTGGCAGTGCTTTTTCAACAACATTCAAGATGGTCAACACCATCCAGGACAAAACCCTTCACATGACCAGCACTCTATATATTACCTTAAATATTCATTCTGTCCTCACTGATACATCACAGCTACAATGACAATTTACAGGATGCACTGCAACATCTTGCCAAAGGCTTCTTTGATAGTGTCTCCCAAAACTGTCACTTCTAGCACTCAGATAACAAGGGGTAGAGCTGGATGAACAC